ATCGGCTTACCCCACCGTGGGTTATATATGGGATATATATATATATATATATATATATATATATATAGGTACACTTGCACACACAACCTCTTCAAATCGTATATTACACAAATACCAGTGTTCTGAACAGTTCCACCCCTTTGTATATTTTGTACACAGGTATCAGAACAGTTATAAGGGTGACTTGTGTATACACGATCCGCAACACGACCCACTCCTTGCTTCAGCATAATATATACGTTTGCGTATAGACGTGCAGACGTGCAGTCGTAGTTATGTATAACACGAGTACATCACGAAACACGAAGCCGGTGCAGTTCTTCTACTGATGCTGATATAACTCCATTATAGTGTACTCCCATGCACCTTTTCACAAAAAGCGTGTCTCTATCCCGTCGAGGTCGTCACAACGTATATAAATATGTATACATTCAACCTAAACCTTGAAAGTGCTAAAAAWTTTTCCTCGAGATGTCCCCGTCCCCAAACAATTGTCCAAAGTCAATAATATTTTTGTTTCATTAAAATATCAGTACATTGAACATGTTCGTTAAAATAAAATATAGCTGGCAAATATTTTATTGCTATAGTTCAGCTGTCTACTAACACAACAAGATTCACAAGACTTTTATATAGGTATAATCTTGGCCACATGATGACATTTAGACCATTAGGTAAACCTATTAACTATATAAGACAAATGACAAAGTGCTTTTCCTTGATTTATGCAATAAATTATGCGTATTTTTTTATTTCGGTCAGTTTCATTAACTAACTTAAAAGTACAGAAATATAAACTGACATATTTTAATCTTATATACGCGCAAAACTAATTTACCTATCGTACACTGCAGTCTGCAATTATAATGATATATGATATTTTCAATACAGTACAAGTTATATTTAAAATGTTTTAGCTTAAAATAAAAATGTAGGGGAAGGCGGTGTTCCCAATTCGACATGCTGGTCACTCTTAGACACATACAATGCGTGTGCGTGTGTCAATAATTCAGACGTTTATCGTGCGTGAGGTCGCATTAACTACGTCCAAAATATTTTTTGAACATTATGACTTCGATAATAGGTTTGTTCCAGCACTGTGTTGTGAACGTCCCGCGCACACGCAAAGTAAAAGTTTTGTTTTAGCAAAGCAAATCCGAAACATCTATAACAAAATGTTTTTTGTTACATCATTTGTTTTAAAGTTGTTAGAAGCACTCATTTTCTGCAGGCGTTTAATGTCCAGTCAAAAGTTTCGCACGTGAAATGTTAATCTTTGTTAT